TGTGTGTGTGTGTGTGTGTGTGTGTGTGTGTGTGTGTGTGTGTGTGTTTGCTTGTGTAGAAGAAAGACATTTAGCAACATTGCTATCGCTAGCAGCCTGGCTACTGTCCAAAGCAAGAAATAACCCTAAGAATCACAATTTGACCTAGAAACCCAGGAGTTTGCGACCCAGAGGCTGACAGAATTGCACAGTGAAAGCGGGGCCCATAGGGAACTACTCTAAACGATGATTGTGTCATTATTCTTTAGCCATTGCATTGTGCAATCAACATTTACTTCATCAGGATGAATGAAAGCAAAACATGTGTCTGTTGCCCTCTAACATCGGTGGCAGATCTAGTCTACCACTCAGAATCTCTGAAAGCAATCCCTGATTTGAGCTCAGCCAGCTGTTGATCTTGCCGTTGATAATGACAATTTACGCAAAGCTAATTTTGTCTGTAGCTAGCTAACAAGCTAACATTAGCTCCATGGGTTGGTTTGAAATGCCGTTTCCAGCTGACTTTTGAGAATCCTGTAAAAGATATCTTATACATGTACTACACTGCTACATACATTTGCCATGAAAAAGTATTTACCCATTCCGAATTCTATATATATTTCTATTCTATAGATATTTATTCTATTTTTTGTGAATTTGTCACACTTTTAGATCTTTAAAAGTTAAAAACAACCTGTGTAAACGCAAAATACGGAATACGCCAGAACAGAACTCAACTCAGCTGTGTCTGCATATGTGCGTCCACACTTCAGTGTGACCTGCCTGATCAGGTAGTGAGCGGATATATTTCGTGGTCAAAGGAGCGGCTGTAAAGCGGTGGATAGAAGCTGATGCAGGACCTGTGTTTGATAAATTGACAGGATTGTGCCCTCATGCTGTGTTGACCCGATGTTTCCCCTCTCGTTTCCTTTACTGAATTCACAGGACTGTTTGCTGTTTTGTCAAGCTGCTGTCCAGTGGCCAGTTTCCGCCAGCTGATTGTTTGCTGTTGAGCCGCAGCAGTCAGTGAAGCATGTAGCAATGCTAGTAAATGACTCGCTGCTGCGGCGGAGCGTTGCCCGAAAGTTTACCTCTGGCAGAATTTTGTGATGATGTTTAGCAAAGGCCTAAATTACTTCCCACGGAAAGAAATTTAAGAGAATTGCAGTGTTTTCTTGATTTTTTTCCTTTACTATAAATTCAAAGTGGGTTGGTCGGTTCAGTGAAGCATGCATAATGTTGCATGTGAATGCTTTATATTAATATCTACAATATGGTTGACATCTAGGGAAGCAAAAAAAGGAGTGTCAGTGCACTGGTGACTGTGGACTCCAGCACCTCAGCGTCCGACTTGGAGGAGTCCAAGTCCGACTCTTCGGACTCGTCAGATTCGGATCATCTGGAGAACTGGATGATCCTGGGTCGAGGGAAGCAGGACGAAGACCAGAGCATCTCGCTCAACCTGGAGGGAGGGACCGACAGCAACGAAGGTGCGTCTTTGTTCAGACTTTTGTGATGCTTTTTTTTTGGGAGGGGAGGTTTTGCATTCGCATGTGCGGAGAACGTACGTGGCGGGTCTCTGTAGTTCGGTCCAGCTCAGTCAGAACACACGGCCTACCTGCATTGATGAGGAGCGATGGGCCGCTCTGTGAGCGCTCTGTGAATCTGTAAGCCCTCAGCATTCCTGGCAGCGTCTGCCCAGTCGCTCGCTTCTGCGATGCATCTTTAAGTGTGTCTGTGTGCATTGTGTGTTGATATGTGGGAATATTTGTGTTTATAAAATATTCCACTTCTAATCAGCATGCATGTGTACATACACGCGCGCATACCAGCAGTCGTAACGCTAATGCCAAAAACAAACAAACGGAGAGACAACAGGGGAGGTTGGGAGAGATGGGAGTAATCAAAAAATGAATAAAAATGTTCCCTGCAAATCTCTTCAGATCTACACATTATCTTAACCTGCAGCCTCAGCAACCTCTCCAGCCCCCTCCCTCCTACCTAACACTCTCCCATCTCATTCTTTTATCCTATTTTCTCACTATTGTGCTCTCTCTCTCCCTCTTTCTGTGTCTCTCTCACTGTTCCTTCCTCATTTGAATTTCCCTGGGCTGATGTTTCTGCAAGAGTGCTCACTGCCTCCTCTACACACAACTGGGCTAAAGGAGGGGGTCTGGAGCTGGTGGGGAGGCTTGAGGGTTTTGGCCTGCTTTTTGGGAGGAAAGGAGGATTTTAGGTCTCTGTTTCTCTCCCTTTCTCTCTTCCTCGCTCTCTCTCCCTCTCTTGTCTGGCTTCTCTCTGTGATCTTTGGAGCTTGACCTCATGTCGGCACATGGGGGGTCATGGGTGTGGCGTGGAAGGGGGTCTTAAAGTGGGAGGAATGGGGGAGGGTTTAGTCGTCGCGCGCGCGCCCCCGCCCCCCCCCCAAAAAAAAAGAAGGAAAAAAAGGAATTGAAGGCAAAGAAATTTGAGGGACGAGCCTCAATAGTCTTGAGCTGCGAGATAATTTGATTCTATACAGTAATTCTTAGCAGGGGTCGAGTGTGTGTTTGGAAAAGCAGGCACATTTTTTTTACATTATTTTCATGAAAAGACCAAAAAAAAAAACAAAACAATGAATGGATCCTGATATACCTTCTTCCTCTGTGTAGTAGAGCTCCGTCGTTGTCTGGAAACTTTTAAAGGCACATCAATGAGCCCCACTGGCTGACATCTTAATTCATTACAACAAACATCAACACTGTAGTTTGTTTTCAGTGAGTCCTGCGGCTGTAAACACTCGCCAGTGTTCATCCACAGATGAAAGTAGTCCCCAACAAATACACCATTTACACCTGTAAGTGCCGTGCCCAGCTGTTTATAAACCTGTTTTTAGAGATTTGAGTAGGGACAATCTAACACATTGTTAATTTGGTCTTTTGATGTGATCTGTTTTCAATAAGAAAAAAATATAGAATATGTCAGCTCGGGTCTCTATGAAATAGAACATTAACTGTTAACCAGAAGATCAGAAGTGATATTTCCAATGATTAAGTTGTTTATTAGAGGCGAAGTCCTGCCCCTTCCGGTGTACCACCATGGGACCAAATTTTGGGAGAAAAAATGTTTGGTAGTCAACAACAAGAGACAAATCATTTCTTGATCCCGTTTGAATTGTGCCGTGAATTACACGAACAATGTTTGTCAATGTAAAAGATAGTTGTGCTTGTCAACAAATTTGCAATTTGACATAAAACTGTTGTGGTATAAGACTGTTCGACTCTCTATTTCCTTGGGGAAAGCCTGCCAACCGTGGTGTTTTAGGATACTCAAAACAGTGTGCATACTAAATGTTCTCTTAGTTCTATTTTTGCATTGTGAAAGGGAAATAAAGGAAAGAACTGCAAAACATTAAAACTAAGTGCGAATGTTGGTGAGACAAGAGGAAGATAAATAAGCACTATTTAATCTGACATTTTTTGTCAATTAGTCGATTGACAGAAAGTTAGTCGCACTTTTTTTTTGAAAGTTCAAAACTATTTTGATGCCAAGCACCTTAAATGTGATCTTTTATATCATTGTAAACTGAATGCTTTTGGATTTTTCACAAAACAACATCCTCTTGAGCTCTGGGAAAATGAAGATTATTTACAATTTTATAGATAAAAATGAGTAATCAATTCACAGAGAAAATAATCTTCAGTTTAATCTATTGATATAATTATTTGCAGCTCTGGTGGCGTTCCAAAATCGCTGTACAAAATATTAAAACGTATATTGATTAATGAGTACTTAATGCAAAAATAGTAAACTAAGAAAATGAGTATATAGTACATACTGTATACAATGAATAGGCCATGTTATATTGAAATGAGATATGGGTGTGATTATTCCTCTTGTTCTGTCTGCTGCTATAGGTTCAGTTGTGCTCATTTTCTTCTGCTGGGAATTTGTTCCACATGCCCTTTTCATTTTACCCAGAAATACAGAGAAAAGGCCAATCTTAAGTTGAATTCTTACGACTACAATAACTGTTGGATCCATAACCGTGGGCTGTTGGATAAATATAAAGATTGATTTCGGTTTTGATACGCCACGTTGTGTGTTGACTCCTGTAGCCTGGGAGCCTAGCTCGTCGTCGTTGTTTTTTTTTTTTTCCACATTTGTGTGGGTGTGTGAGTTACAGGTTTTGCACAGCAGTGACTAATAGTATTTGTACGCCTAAACCCCCATCTCAGCATCACCATCAAATCACATTCACTACACTTAGCCCCCCCCCCTCTCGCCCCGCACAAATTGAATCCTTTCTTTCTCTCCTTCTCGTTCTGTCCCTCTCCCGCGTGGTGTCACTTGTTCACATACTTTTACAATATTTTTTCTCACTCCATCACATGCGTTGTTTTTTTTAAAATCAAACACACACATGCACGCCAATGCGCACACAGCTGGAGTAGCTATCTGTCACCTGGCCGTACAGGGGCAGCTGTCGGTGGGTGGATCTGTAGGGACACTGGATAAGGGAAAAAGAGAAAAGATAGTGAGAAAAAAAGGGGGGATGAGCGAGGGGCCGTCCGGCAGCCACGCAGCAGCAACCAGACGGAACAAGAGAGAGAGGGAAAAAGCAGGGCTTCCCAAAAAAAAAAATCCAGCTCAGTGCCTCTCCCACCCTGAGAGGCGTGCGTGCACATGCACCGTGAATGAATCCGGCGTGTAGGCGGGGTGTGCTGGAGCTAAACTTGAATCCTAAGTGGTTAAACTTCACTCAGTGGTCACACTTTTTTTTTTTTTTTCCTCTGTTGCTCCCCCCAGTTCTTTTTTTTGTCCCCTCGGTCTTGGTCAGTGCACACCAAACTTTGTTTGAGGCTTAGAGAGTTGGCTTCTGGCTCGCTATCGGGGTGGCCGATCACATCAGAGTGTGTGTGTGTGTGTGTGTGTGTGTGTGTGTGTGTGTGTGTGTGTGTGTGTGTCGAT